GATCAAACTCCACGTTATGACTCAACAAGATAATTTAGTTTCAAAGTCTTTCTCAAGGAAAAAACGAAAAAACGGAACCAACAACTGATCAAAGTCCGCTTTATGACTCAGCGGGATAATCTAGCTTCCATGTCTCTCTCAAAGAAAAGTCCGAATCAACATCTGGTCAAAGTCCACTTTATGACACAGCAAGGTAGTTTCAATCTAATTTCTCAGTGTTTCAAGGGAAGAACCAAATCAACGGCTGATCAAAGTTCGCTTTGTGATAATGCAAGAATGCTAGTCTAGCGTCGCTTTCTGTTCCAAGGATAAACCAGAGCCAAAACCAAATAAAACTCCGCTTTATAGAGAAACACGAGCATCTAGTTTCAGTTTTTTTACGAGAAAATAAATAAAAAATCTATAAGCGGGGCACATCCTATGAAAAAAAGCTACTGAAAACAGCCGTGTAAAAATCTTTTCCTAACTTTCATTTCATAAGAATGACAAGAAGATAAGATAAGATAAGAACTTTATTACCGTGTCAAAATCTCTAGCGTACTACGTAAGCTAATTGGGGACACCTAATTAACTAGTACTAAACTTACTTTATATAATTACAAAATATGAAATTTATATGTATGTTTGTGTATTTAAATATTTAAAGTGATTAGTTAATTATTACACCAGAAGCAGTCTTTACGTTCTAGGCTATTAGAATTAACTTGTTTTATGCGTTTTTTAAAAGTTTCCTGTGAGTCAGACAGCCGAATAAATTTTTCGAGTTTTGACCATAGGACAGGGCCTAGGTACGACAGGCTGTGTTTACCGCATGCAACTGTCCTGAATCTTGGCATTATGAAGTCTGAATTTCTTAAATTATAATGAGTACTTTAGACAGCGAATAAGTCCGTGATATACGGGGGCGCCAAACCGTTTTTGACTTTAAACATCATAACTACTATGTCCTGTAGTCTTCGCGTGTATAGTGTAGGCAGGCTCGCTCTATGCAGGAGTTCTTCATACTCGATGATACATTATCACAGTAGACAGCGCGTAGCGCTCGTTCTTGAATTCGTTACAGTTTTCTTGCATCGGAAGCACGACAAAAATGCCAGACAGTCTGACAATATGTGAGGTGAGGTATTATGGCGAATTTGACTATGTGTAGTTTGGCAGACGTGGGAATAATATTACGTAATCTCAAAAGGGCACCCGTTTGACAGGAGGCTTTCTTGCAAACCTTGCTTATATGGCTCGAGTATGTTAGCTGGTCGTCTTTGGTAACTCCTAGGAGCCATCTCTGACTTTTGATCGATCTCAGCGTCACCAATCACGATGTGTAAATCCTTTTGACAATTCCTCGGACCCAAACTCATCACCTGATACTTTGAAAAGTTTCCTTGTAGCAGATTGTTGTTGTATCATTCAGAGATGTTGTTACCTTCCCTGGTTAAAATTCTTTCCGCCTCGCTACTCCCGGTCGCTACTAGACTTCGCAACTGAAAACAGTTGGTGGTCGTCGGCATACAAAAATAGACTGTTTTCATCAGTAGAGAAGTGTAAATAGTTTTAGTTCTTCCAAAACCTCAGAGTCCTAAAGAAACGAGGCTTTGAAATGGAAACAAATACAGCCCGATCTCTGTTAAGCGGCCACCCCCGGGACTTTGAAAAGTGGACGCTTGATAGGGGTTGGCCGCTTAATAGAGGTACAATTTAACTTGGATAGGAATGGCAGAAAACATCATTTTATTGACTCTATATAGCAAAATGCTTTTAAAAAGTGAACATAAATGAAGATAAATCCAAAATTCATTGTAACAAAACATCAAGTGCATTTCCAGCCCAGGCATAGTTCTTGCTCTAAAACAGAGGGCATGTAGGGCTTATGGCCCAATTGCTTACAAAATTTCTCAAGAGGCCAACAAACAAAGGAAGAGCTGTTATGAAAGGCAAACATGTAAACAGAGGGGCCGGCTATGGTTTAGAAATTCAATGCGAGTACTGCTTCACAGGAGACGAGTTTTCAATTCAATGGTTAAAATCAAAACTTGAGGAACATGGAGTTTTGTAGATTTCCAGTGCAGTAGTAATAAAGTTTTCCTGTACAGATTTTGGTTGTAACAAAACAGTGGTTCAGCTCTATCTATTGTTAGCTATTGTCATGTTTGTATAACACCGGATGTGAAAAGTTTGCACGTGTATGTGGCTTGTGACTTGTTATGGTGGAGATTATATTGCAGTTCTTGTTTTCTTGTTGTTTTCAGTTATCACCTCAAGATATCATCTGTCACTATTTCGCTTGGAAAGATAATTTGCTGGCCGCTTAATGGAGGTAAAAAACCATGTAAATAATACACTTGTGACAGCAAAAAGGTGGCTGTGGCCGCTTAATAGAGGTGGCCGTTGAAAAGAGGTATCAAATACAGCAGTTAACTGAGAAATAAATCGGGACTTTAGAAAGTGGCCGCACAATGGAGGGTGGCGCTTAATAGGTGGCCGCTTAATAGAGGTCGGACTGCATTCAACATTCTCCAATGTAAAGATAGACCTTAACATCTTAAGGAATTTACCTACGTGCCCGGAGGTTTCTTGCTATCGGGTCTGTTTTGTAGAAAGGTTTGTCTGCAGTGTCAATATCAGACCGAGGCGCGAGTAACTGAATAAGTAACTCCTGTGTCCTGACAAAGGGTGAAATATGGCTTTATAACTAATGGCGCGGCACGTTTGTGACGTCACAAAAGTTTGACCCCCTAGAGCGATTAGGACAAACAAAACAAGCTTCTCGAGTAAAGGAATATGGGCGATGATGCGCCCATCTGTAGTTTAAACGTCTCTAAAGCTCGTATTTTAAATAAAAACGACGGTGTTCCTGGCCGTCAAAGTTCGAGAAAGACCCAGAGAACTATATACAAGCACACAGTTGAAGCGTTGGTTAAAGTGTAGAGGCTTGAAATTAAGCGGAAAACGAGAAGACCTCATCCCACGTTTTCGTGACTGCCTCATGTCGGGAAAACATTATATACTTGATTCAGGTTTAGATGACGGGAAATGGCTTCAGGTGAAGATACTAAAGAAAAGTAAAGTCGATCGCGTGAAACTTAAGGATCTAACAGTTCAATGTAAAAATGGGTAGACAGGCCGCCTACACGACTGCCCAACGCGTGATTAGAATAGCCTATTCAAAGTTTGGCTGTCTTCGAGCGATCGCCCTCTTTTGTAAGATACGAGTGGCGGATTTGTGTATAGTTCGGTCAGTACTGGTTGTGTTTCTATTAAATGCCAGTGTCTCATGAGAGTTTGCTTTAGGTTTGGCACTGATGGTTGGTATTGTGTACTAAAAGGCAAGATTCGTTAGTTCGTCTTCGGTTCCTGTTGAAGAGCTAGTTTCCTGTTTTTGAAATTCACCTCTGAGAGGGTTGTGTTAATGAGGGCCTCTGGGTGACCTCTCTTTCGCAAATGCGCTTTGAAATTTAAAATTTTTTCCTCGAATATTGTTTGAGAGGAGTTTGTTCTGAGAAGTCTAAGGGCCTCTCCTTTTATTAAGCCTTTCTTATTTCATTTTGGGTGACAGGAACTATAGTGTGTATACTGAAATGTCTCAGTTTGTTTAAATGAGTACGCACATCAAGGATTGCGTCCTTTTCGAATCTTTCGCCTTTGTAGATGTAGGTGTCCAGGAATGTTGTGTCCTTATCGGAAATTTCAGCCGTAAATTTTTTGTTGGATGATGATTGTTTGCTTTTTCAATGAAACGTTCTATTGTTGCTTTGTATGTACTCCATAGCGAGATGTCGTGTATGTAACGTTTCCAAACAAGCAGTTTGAAAAGGCTTTTGTCAAGGATTTCAGTGTAAAGGACAAATATAAGTATTGTAGTTAATACTATCAACTGAGAAATTCTTTCTAGAACATGCATTTACCCGGCATTGACAAAGTTCGAAGTCATGCTTCGGCTTTCCGATCGTTTTTAAGCATTTCTTTAAGCGAACTGGTAATCTATCTGGATATCTTGAGTCATTTTTACATGTACCCCAACAGCAATGTTTAGTTGCAACCATTTCAGACAGAGCATTTTTTGACCGAAAATAGTCTTTCTTCTGACACGTTTCGCATACAACTCCTTGTAAAGACTCCGAGCGTTTGTCCTAATGCCTTCCGCGGCATATATTTTAACCAACACGACTTCGCAGTGGCTTGCGAATGGAAGTTGGAATAGGATAACTGGGGGCTGGTTCCACTGATGCAATTACGACCATGCATATTCACTCTCTCTGCGTTAGAATTGACGCAATGGTGTCGATAGTTATGCACGTGTAAAGAAAAATTGAGAACTGCAAGGACGTAAATAGGAGGAACGAGGAGACAAACAGCTCCTTGAGATCGAGGACGATTGCTTTATGGAAACTGAAAATTCTTGTCAATATTTTGTTTACAATAATCGATGACATGAGTGGAGTGCAATTTGTATCTTTATGCCTCTGATTACTCATTCAAAGCCCTGAGATTCAGCCGAACTGAATAACGAAGATGTTATACTCGCAAGAAGGCAAACACTTTGACAAGTTTTCACCCGGACAAAGTTCAATTCAGCAAATCCTATTAGCTAGAAAAAGAGTCAAAATTTATACACCTGGAAAAACATTAACTGAGTTGGTACGTTGGTGCTGCTTTTGATTTCGCATCTCGGAATACCAATTCTACTCTTCACAAGTGAATTTCTGGTAATGTGGTAACCAAATTCTGTCGACTATTCACAAGAAAATGTTTTTCAGCTTGAAAGGAGAATTGCGAATCAGATCTTAAGTTTTTAAGGGATACGTAACACTAAACTTCTGTTTGAAACACAACCGTGCGTGCTCACCTTTAAGCCCCATTTTTCAACTGTATTAAATTATTTTAAACCTTTTTTTAGTGACAGGTATTTCTCCGATTCGGTTTACTCACTAACGTTTGCTGGCAATGTCTCTATTGCTTGGGTCTAAGCCTAATTGCCCCGGGGTAAAGAAGATTCAGATCCATTCTGTGGAACATCTTGGAAGTCTTTATTTGAAGCTTAATCGGGTACAAGCCTTTGCACGAACCCTTGGTCTGATTACATTTCACACTATATTGCTGGGTTACTTGAATTTCTTTGATGATTAGATAAAAGTAGTAAAACTCCTACAGAAAAAAATTCTAAGAAAAACCTTTAAAATTTCATCCAAATTAATTCATGCTACTTTTCTTTGAACTGAAGTCTAAGTATATGGCGATAGCCAGACAAACCTCGTTTAGAGTAATAATGACAGTACCATTTTTTTAACACATAATGCTGAGTTTCCAATGCTAACGTTAATAAAAAAGAAACCCGCCTTTAAAACCGCAAGTTTACCTCCCTAGCAGTGATTTTGTTCCTAAGTCTAAATTATCTTCGCTTCGGGGCCTCTCCCTTTCATACCTTTCTTTATTTAACCACCAATTAGATCAATTCGATTGCAAAGCTGTCAGTTATTAAAAACTTATCAGAAATAAAACTTCAATCGAGGAGCTTTATCACCAGTTGAATTCTTATAGCAGATTAGTCAGTGAGCCTAAGCAGTTGTGAGATGGCTTACATGTTTTCCCGACCACAACGAAGCTAGTAGAGAATTTAAGACCCACGTTTATTTCTAAATACGTATGAAAGTCACGAGTCACGTGACCAGACTCCAATGGCCATCTTTGCCGTTTGAACGTATGGCGAGGCAGTTTCAGGTTGGTCAAATCCCTCAGCGCTTTTCTCTCCCCTGTTCGAAAGTTCTCACGTATTTCCTGTAAATATATTTGAGGCAGGGTTTTTCCTTCTCAGCCAAACTGTTTGGGACGCTAGAAATCCAAATTTTTAGCCACATTGTGTGTTTTAAATGAAGAATTTCCATCCTGTTCAAGATGGCGGCGCACATCCTTTTTTTTTTTCTTTTCTTTTTTGTTTTTCCAGGTGAAAGCCTCAAGCCACTAACCGCGGTTTGAGGTTTGCAGTTAACACGCCAAAGGTGGATCTTAAACTCCCTAATGCCGTAAGTGCTAGAGACAGATTTTTCATGAATGTCGTTGTCATCAAAACGTTAAAAACAAGATCATTCCAGTCAACTAAACCTCAGTAGTAGTCTTCTTCTAGTCGCTGATGGGAATCGATGCAAAAATATAACGGCTACAGCACTAAGAACGGGAAAGAGGCAATTACAGTTTTAACGAGTGGGTCAACAGCTCTTCAGGAGCGTTTTGCATTTTCTTGCCGTCCAAAGGAACAATATGAAATCAAAAAAAAAAAACTATCTTAATCCTGAAGCCAAATCATTCACGTTTTAGCTGGAACTGAACGCTACATTCGCATGTAATGCTACAAAGCCCATGAAAATTTCAGCTAAAAAATTGATTGTACTACTTTATAACACTATACTTACTCTAATAAAAAATGAATAAAAAACCTGATTAAAAAAAAAAACAATTACATTGCTTCCATTAAGATGTCTTGCTCTTTCTACTCCTCACTCACTCTCACCTGGGCCTGTGATGGCTAAAAGCAGCTTGCTCGCTAGCTTTCGAACTGAGCATTTTGTTTTGATTGTTTCCTTCTGCTTTTCCAGCCACTTGTCGATGTAGTTCTGGTCTGTTCCCGCGGTTGGAATGGCAAGGAAGTCGGTCCTGACGTCTGGTATAACCGCGTAGAAGCATTGGCAGAGGCTCTTCATGTCTCTTGCTTGTGCCTTCATAACTAAATAGTACAGCCTCTTGGGGTCGCTCTTGCTTTTTTCAGCTTTTCTTTCCAACCTTTTTAGCTCCTGTTCCATTACGGAGAAGAAACCAGCTGCTTTAGAGATACCACTTATGAGGCCCTTCAAGGCAGGGATCAGGGTGTTGGTGACTGTAATTGCGGCAGCTTCTTGAACTTTCGCTTCGCAGCCTTTAGCAACTGCATCTGCCAAATCTGATTCAGCAGCGGCATTCAATGCAGGGGTGGCGACCACGTTTACAAATGGCACAAATGCAAGTCCAATCGCCCAGGCGCGTTTTGTTTTTGCATTTTCTTCCAGTTCTTTCTTCTTCTTTTCAAATTCCTGTTGAAGGTCTGTGAATTCGTTTACAATTACGCGGGCCTGGTCTTCTCTAGCTTTGAGCGGCACCAAGATGTCTTCGTGCATCTGCAGGAGGATTTCGCACTGCTCCCTGTAGCCAGTGGTCTCTGCAAGGATGTCAGATAGCATCTCACACCATTCTTCGTAATCAAGGGCTTCATAATACTCAAAGTACTCGCTGATACATGCAACAAACTTGGTTGAAAGGGGGAGGACACCTTTTAGGTACACCATTGCGTCGTTTCTGGTGTCGTCGCGGAGTTTCCTGAACTCTCTAGCAGGATCGGTATCGGTGCCAACAGCCTGGTCTGAGTAAAGGGCTCTCATGCACATGGAGAAAATTCGCATGTCGACTGGCATGCTTTGCAATTGTGCTCGAAGGTCTTTAAGAGACTTCTCTGCTTCCTTTTCGCTGTCACTCATCTTTCTGCCGGAAAAGAAGCAATTAAATGATCAAAGGGTTGTTCTTCTTTATCAGGCCATGGATGGTTTCTATCATCGCAAAGTAATTTTCCTATTGTAATTCCTATTGTCCAACAAAAGGTCTAAAAAAAAAAGGGACTGTACGTCTCCAGATAATCAATTCTTGATGCAAAAGGCGTTATTTAAAGATGGCTAACGAAAGATAGGAAAGATCGGACAAAACATGTGTTCATTGGAAGAATCAAATCAAAGGAAACTGTGAATAAGTCGTGGATACATTGCGCTTGAATGAGTTTTAAAGATAATTCAATTCCAATGGGTGACTCCCAGATACAGTCGAAACTTCTTGGTATTACTTTGAACTGCTGGGGTGATGTTGCGTGAATGGTCAGAATTCACATTTTAGCTATCGGTCAGTACAAAATACAGACTGCAAACCGGGTACGAAATGCAGACTAGGTACAAAATGCAGACTGCAGACTGCAGATTGGGTACAGAATGCAGACTGGAAATTTTGAAAACTGTTAATTCGTCTGATACATGATAACATGTCATCTTACAACTTACCGAGTGTCACGCAATCGCCTTTTAGCAATCACTTTCACCTTTCATGACCATTTGCACTATTTCGGAATATTCCTTGCCCGCTTCTTCGCATATTTTGTTTTTAATAAGGTGGCCAATGAATTCTGTTTTTAAAAAAGAGGTCACAATCGTTCTCAAATAGAATTTCAACCCATTGTATGTGAAAAAAACACAGCTTTTGTTATGTGTTACGAACTCTTCACCTTTTAAACCTTGACAAAAATGTTGACTTAGACCAAAACTGTTCCTTCGACTTCATATATTTTTAACGTTCAGGGGTGTACACACAATGATTTTTACAAATTAATGTCTGCGTAGCCACCAAACAGACAAGAGGTTAAACCATCAGAAAAGTAAACAATTGACCAGTCACGAAAACAACGCTTCACTTTCCCCTATAAAAATTTGCCGGTTACTCATTTTGGCGATATATAACGATATAAATACTGACGGCTCGCAGTGAGAAGAATGAAGGCATGAACTTGTATTTAAGAACGATTGTGGCCTGGCCGCTTTGTTTAAAACAAAACATACCCGGGAACAGCGAGGAATAGTTCACAATAAAGCAAATGATGGCGAAAGATGATCGCGGAAAAGCGATTGCACTAAGCGTCTTCACTCATAGTTACACCTTTAGGCTTTCAAAGAGCCTTAATTCGGTTACACATGTGCTAACTGCGACGAGTATTTTTATTAAAATCGAAACTCCTTCGAAGAAAGGTTGAGTTAAATTTTAACGTCGCAGCATTACTTCGGAAATCTGATAGAGGCGTTCCCGTATAATTTCGGAAGGTTGCTATCAATATTGATCTGCCGTCGACATATGGATTTGTTTACATCTGAGTGAGTGACATATTTGCATATTCTGCCCATTCTAATAGTCGTTTGTACGCTTCGCGTACCCACGACTGAATAGGGGATTGGTCAGAGTTTGCAGGTATTGCTGTCAGATGTGTGGAACTCTTTTGTAAACGCCGTGTACTTAGCCTTTACTGAGCTAAAAGCCAAATTTCACTTCCAACCCTAGCATAATATCTTTCACACTACTAAAAAATCTATTTCGATTTTGATTACAGGTTTTATCTGTACGAAAAGGAAGGATACCCCGAGGAAAGTCTCATACGAGCAGCTGAATTCCCTGACAAACGATGCAATAAGTTGCACCATATGTTTATGTGTCTTTCTTACCCATTTATTTTATCCAGTCAGTTTAACTTCTCAAAAACGGACACAATAAATTGCCCAATGAGAAGTAATCCCTCTTTTACCAGACACTTTTCCGAGAAATTTCTCAAGTTTGATATGATAGTTATTTCCTGCTGGTGTCATGGATGGATATGTTACATGTGCCAGAAAGAGTCAAGTCAGCTTGAGCATAGTTAGTAGAGGGACGAGCGATAAACTTGAACAAAGAGTTGCTTTCTTTAAGTTCGCTGAACTTCCTAACCAGTCCCCTCTACTAACTATGGCTTGAGCTACAGCTACTCCAAAGCAGTGAACAGCGGGCGAATTCCTCAAAATTGCTTTATGTCTTCATCACAATACAAAAATTTTTGAGATTTGTATTTCCTTTCTCCAATGGAAACTGTCTTTATTTGTGGCGGTAAATTTGAGATCGAAGTAGGTGGTTCGCACGTTACCTCATGCCACCATGCTGGTGGAAGTAAACAATAGATATCTCATTAGCTCCTTTTGTTCGTCTACCAGCATTTAAATTTGACCCGCACACGTCAACGGTGAGTGACAAATGAGCCTAGGTCTTCCCAGGCAAGACTTCCTTATATAGCGCGCCTTCGTGTTTAAGATGCAAATTGGAAAATAATTTAAGAAGCGAAAGTATATTTCTGAAGGATGAAATATGGCCTCGTAACTGACTGATGATTGGTAATTTAATATAAAACTGAATTAGAACAATAACTGAACAAATTATACATTATGAGGTAAATCAGGCGTAGAGTTGGGACTTCCTTTTTTCCAGAAAATAGAGGAACAGCAATTGGTCGAAGCAATTGGTCGAAGTCCACCTGATGACGCACCTTGAACTATTGGTGTTGATTTCGTTTTCCTTATTCAGAGATGAAGTAGATGCAAGTTACAAGAGTATCTTGTTTCGATTTTTCGATTGTTTCTTTTAAAGGAGCAAAAAAGTCCACTTAATGACACAGCAAGATAATTTAGTTTCAATGCCTTTCTTAAGAAAAAGAGGGAACCAACAACTGATCAAATAAAGCCCACTTTATGACTCAACTAGATAATTTAGTTTCAACACCTTTCTCGAGGAAAAAACGGAACCAACAACCGATCAAAGTCCGCTTTATGACTTAGCAAGATAATCTAGCTTCCATGTCTTTCTCAAAGAAAAGCCCGAAACAACATCTGGTCAAATTACACTTTATGACACAGCAAGATAGTTTAAATCTAATTTCTGTTTCAAGGGAAGAACTAAATCAACGGCTGATTAAAGTTCGCCTTATGACAATGCAAGATAGTCTAGCTTCACTTTCCGTTCCAAGGATAAAACGGAACCAAAACCTAATGAAACCTGGCTTTGCAGTGAAACGCGAGTAACCAGTTTTGGTTTTCTTATGAGAAAATAAATAAAAACTCTATAGGCGAAGCACATGTTATAAAAAAAAAAGCTACTGGAAACAGCCGTGTAAAAATCTTCTCCTTACTCTCATCTCATAAAAACGATAGTCCTTCCACAACATCACAGTCCAAAAGAAACAAGGCTTTGAAGTAAGAGACAGATATTCAACACTTTCCTATGTAAAGAAATACCTTTACAGCTAAAGGAATTTACCTAATCGCCTGGAAAATACTGCTATCAGGTCTGTTTTGTGGAATGAGTTGTCAGCAGTGTCAATTTCAGACCGAGGGGCGAGTATCTGAATGAGTAGCAAGTATGTCCTGACACAGGCTGAAATATGGCCTTATGATTAATTGATGATTGGTCATTTTAAAGGAAACAAATATAGAACAATAACTGAACAAAGAATGCTTTACGACGTAAATCAAGTATGGAGTTTGGACTTCTCTCCTTCTAGAAAATAGCGGAACGACAATTGGTCAAAGTCCACCTTATGACGCAGTATGAACTATTGGTTTTGATCTTGTTTTCCGTGTTCAAAGATAGCATAGATTTGTATTTGTATTTAAAGATTTGTACATTATACAGGTGAGAGAACAATAGGACGCGTGGTCCCCCAATAGGTTCACCCACCTAAACCCAACCCACCCATCCCACCCCAGGGGAGGGGGAGGACATCCATCACAAGGTAATCTCGTGCGTGGGAAATTAACGTCTCCTACGCCTAACCCTGCAGGAGACGGGACCTTCATTTTTTTGTCCCTATCCGAGAAGACTAGAATATCTAACCATTTCTTGATGTTAAAGAAAGGTGGCATATTCTTCTCACTTGTTTTAAGACCTTGAGTGTTAGTCCGGCTGGGGCTCGAACCCTCGACCTAGATGAAAGTTACATGAGTATCTGGTTTTAATTTGTCGATTTTTTTAGGAGCAATAACACTCTAGCTGGCCAAAGAATACTTTATGACGTAAATCAAGCATGGAGTTTGGACCTCCCTCTTTCTAGAAAAGGGTAGAGCAATATTTGGTCAAAGTCCACCTAATGACGCAGCTTGAAGTATTGGCTTTGCTTTCGTTTTCCGTGTTCAAAGATAGCATAGATGAAAGTTACACGAGCATCTAGTTTTAATTTGTCGATTTTTTTTAGGAGCAATAAAACTCTAGCAGGCCACATTACAGTTTATGAGCAAACAGGAGCATGAAGAAAAAAGCCAAGAAAATAGGGAGACAACAGGTTATCCAAGTGCGCTATATGACACAACCACGAAACAATTTCTTACGCAACCGACTGGGAAAAGACACATCAATCGCAAGTTATCAGTCAGAAAAGCACAGGAACTAGAATTAAACTACAACTATTTCCTATATAAGCGGTCTTTAGAAAGCCTCCCAATTAGCTCAGTAGATAGATTGCTGGACTGATGTGTGGGAGGTCGAAGGTTTGAGCCCTGGCCGGACAAACACTCAAGGTCTTAAAATAATTGGGAAGAATATGCTGCCTTTCTATAACATCAAGAAATGGTTTAGATATTCTAGTCTTCTCGGATAGGGACAAATAAATGGAGGTCCCGTCTCCTGCAGGGTTAGGGGTAAGAGACGTTAATTTCCCACGCACGAGATTACTTTGTGATGGATGTCCTCCCCTGGGGTGTGATGGGTGGGTTGTTGTCTTGCGTTTCATACATGAGCCTCTGGCTCGGGCAAGATGGGTAACCATGCCCCACGTAAAAGACATTAAACTTTGATTACTATCACTAATAACACCTACAGATATGTAAGTACTTGACTTTAGATTCTCCTTTGTATGATAAGATAGGAGTCCGCCTTATGACACAGCAAGATGATCTTGTTTCAAGGAGAGAAACAAAATAGAATTAACGGCTGATCAAATTCCACTTAATGACACAACAAGTTAATCTAGTCTCAAAGTCTCTTTCAAGGAAAAAACTGAACCGAAAGCTGATCAAAGTCCACTTTATGACACTGCAAGATAGTTTAATTTCAATTTCTGTTTTAAAGAAAAAACCAATTCAAAGACCAGTCAGAGTTCGCTTTATGACAAAGTAAGATAGTTTAGCTTTAATTTCTTTTCCAAGGATAAACGAAACAAAAAGCTAATGAAATTCTGCTTTTTAGTGAAACGTGAGTATCTAGTCACAGTTTCTTTTAGGAGGAAATAAATAAAAACTCTATAGACGGAGTGCATCCTATGATATGAGCTACTGGAAACAACAATATAAAAATTTTTCCTATTATTCATGTCACGGACTCAGGAAAATGATAGTTCCTTCACAACCTCACAGTCCAAAAGTAGCAAGGCTTTGAAATGAGAGACAAATGTTCAACATTCTCCTGTGTAAAGATAGACCTTAACAGCGTAAGGTATTTACCTACTTTCCTGGAAGTTTCCAGCTATCAGGTCTGCTTTGTAGAGGTTTTTCTGCAGTGTCAATATCAGACCGAGGGGCGAGTATCTGACGAAGAAGCTCTTGTGTCCTGACACAGGCTGAATTATGGCTTTATAACTGATCGATGAATGGTTATTTCAAAGGGAACAAAAATCACGGAAAAATAACTGAACAAAGAATGCTTTATGACGTAAATCAAGCATGGAGTTTGGACCTCCCTCTTTCTAGAAAAGGGTAGAGCAACAATTGGTCAAAGTCCACCTAATGACGCAGCTTGAAGTAGTGGTTTTGCTTTCGTTTTCCGTGTTCAAAGAAAGAATAGATGAAAGTTACACGAGCATCTAGTTTTAATTTGTCGAATTTTTTTAGGAGCAATAAAACTCTAGCTGGCCACATTACAGTTTTTGAACAAATAGGAGCATGAAGAAGAAACCAAAATGAGAAGACAACAGATTGTCCAAGTGCGCTAAATGACACAGCCACTTTAAAAATAACTGATTGGAAAAATACATTCCATTCGCAAGTTATTAGTCGGAAAAGCACAGTGAACAGAATTTAACTACAAGCAACAACTATTTCCTATATAAGCGGTCTTTAGAAAGCCTCATAAGAGATGCAAGTGCCTGCCTTTAGATTCTATCATATGTGATAAGACGAGAGTCCGCTTTATGACACAGCAAGATAATCTTATTTCAAGGAAAGGGGAAAACGGAACCAACAACTGATTGAAGTCCACTTTATGACACAGCAAGATAATTAAGTGTCATGCCTCTTTCAAGGAAAAAACGGAACCAACAACTTATCAAAGTCCACTAATTACGCAGCAAATCATTTAAGTGTCAATGCCTCTCCCAAGGAAAAAAAACGAACTAACAACTGATCAAAGTTCACTTTAAAATGACACAGCAAGTTAATTAAATTTCAATGTCTCTCTTAAGGAGATAAGGGAAAAACCGAACTGATCAAAGCCTGATCAAAGTCCATTTTACGAGTGTTTGTTTCGAATTTCTTCTACGGAGAAATAAGCGAACATACAACTTATTGGTGCATATCTTACAATAGAAGCTAAAGGAAACAGCAGGACACAATCTTTTCCTAACCCCTATTTAACGGACTCAGAAAAATGATAGTTCTTTCACAACCTCACAGTTCAAAAGGAACTAGGATTCAAAATAAGAGACAAATGTTTAACATTCTCCTATGTAAAGAAAGACCTTTAATGCTAAAGGAATTTACCTGCCTGTCTGGAAGTTTCCTGTTATCAGGTCTGTTTTGTTGAAAGGTCTGTCTGCAGTGTCAATATCAGACCGCGGAGCGAGTATCTGAATGGGTAGCTCGTGTGTCCTGACAAAGGGTAAAGCATGGCATAACAAGTGATTGATGACTGATCGGTCATTTAAAAGGAAACAAAAATAAAACAATAACTGAACAAAGAATGCTTTATGATGTAAATCAATCATGTAGTTGTACTTTTTTTTTTCTAGAAAAGAGTGGAGCAACAATAGCGCTGCGCGCCAGGTCTAAAAATAGATATGTCATCTTTGGACCCCCCGCTGGTTTAGGACAAACACTCGGAGTCTTTACAAGGACTTGTATGCGAAACGTGTGAGAAGCAAAACTATTTTCGCTCAAAAAATGCTCCAACTTTCTTAAATGGTTGCAGCTAGGCATTGCTGTTGGGATTCATTTAAGATTGACTCAAGATATCCAGAAAGATTGCCAGATTGGCTTAATCCGCATAAAGAAATGCTTAAAAACGGTCGGAAAGCCTTCTTACCGTTCCCAAAGCCTAAGCATGCATGACTTGGAACTTTGTCAACTCCGGATAAATGCGTGTTCTAGAAAGAATTTCTCAGTTGATAGTGTTAACTACAATACTTATATTTGTGCTGTACACTGAAATCCTTGACAAAAGCCTTTTCAAACCGCTTGTTTGGAAACGTTACATAGACGACGATCTTCTCGCTATGGAGTACAAACAAAGTAACAATAGAACGTTTCATTGAAAAAGCAAACAATCGTCATCCAACAATGAAATTTACGGCTGAAATTTCCGATAAGGAAACAACATTCCTGGACACCTACATCTATAATTATAAAGGCGAACGATTCGAAAAGAACGCAATCCTTGATGTGCGTACTCATTTTAAATAAACTGAGACATTTCAGTATACACACTATAGTTCCTGTCACTCACAAGGAGTTAAGAAAGGCTTAATAAAAGGAGAAGCCCTTAGACTTCTCAGAACAAACTCTTCTGACACAATATTCAAAGAGAAAATTGCAAATTTGAAAGCGCATTTTCGAAAGAGAGGCTACTCAGAGGCCCTCATTAACATAACCCTTTCAGAGGTGAATTTCAAAAACAGGAAACTAGCTCTACAACAGAAACCGGAGACGAACCAACGAATCTTGCCTTTTATTACACAATACCAACCATCAGTGCCAAACCTAAAGCAAATTCTCATGAGACACTGGCATTTAATAGAAACAACCACTACTGAGCGAACTATACAAAAATCTACCATTTCAACTTTGTTGATATATCCATATTATTTCGTTACTCCCACCGACGCAGCCCCAAACAGTTTCTTTCGAAACTATTAGCCTTGATTCATTTATACAAAAATTCGCCACTCGTGTCTTAAAAATGAGGACGATCTCTCAAAGACATACTCGCGAGGGCCAAACTTTCAATAGGCTATTCTAAACACGCGCTGAGGAGTCGTGTAGGCCTATCAACCCCCTTTTTACATTGAACTGTTAGATCCTTAAGTTTCACGCGATGGACTTTACTTTCCTTTAGTATCTTCGCCTGAAGCCATTTCCCATCGTCTATGCTTGAATCAAGTACATAATATTTTCCCGACATGAGGCAGTCTCGAACACGTGCGATGAGGTATGCTCATTTTCCTCTCAATTTCAAGCCTGTACACTTTAACCAACGCTTCAATTGTATGTTTGTATAGTTCTCTTGGTCTTGCTCGAACTTTGGGCGCATCATCGCCCATACCCATTTACTCGAGAAGCCTGTTTGTTTGTCCTAATCGCTCTAGGGGGTCAAAATTTCGTGACGTCACAAACGCGCAGCGCCATTGTTCAAAGTCCACCTAATGACGTAGCTTGAAGTATTGGTTTCGATTTCGTTTTCCATGTTTCAAGATAGCACACCATTGCAAGCTCCACAAGTATTTGGTCTGGATTTGTCGATTTTCCTTTTTCTAGGAGCGATAAAACTCTAGCTGGCTAAAGAACGGCTTATGAAGATATAAGAACATGAAGAAGAAACCAAAGCAAATAGGGAAACAACTGCTTGTTGAATTACACTAATTGACACAACCAAGAAACAATCTCGAAATTAGACTACAAAACGGTCTTTAGAAAGCCTCAACAACTAGAGATAAGCAAGTACCTGCCTTTAGATTCTATCATATATGACACGATGAGAGTCCGCTTTGTGACTCGGCAAGCCGATAATCTTGTTTCAAGGAAAGGAAGAAACGGAACCAACAACTGATCGAAGTCCACTCTATGACACAGCAAGCTAATTAAGTGTCAATGCCCCGTTCAAGGAAAAAACGGAACCAAAAACTAATCAAAGTCCACTAATGACACAGCAAGTTATTTAACAATTTCTTCCCAACGATTATCTAACTAACCGGATAATGACAGTTCTTTTGCAAACTAACCAGCAAAAGGAATAAGGCTTAGAAATGAGGGACAGCTGTTGTGCACTTTCTCGTGTAAAGATAAACCTTTACAGCTTAAGGTATTTACCTACGTGCCTGGAAGTTTCCTGCTATCAGGTCTGTTTTGTTGAAAGGTTTGTCTGCAGTGTCAATATCAGACCGGGGAGCGAGTAACTGAATGAGTAGCACGTGTGTCCCGATACAGGGTGAAATATGACCTTATAACAGATTGCTGATTGGTCATTTAAAGAGGAAAAATAGAACAATAACTGAACAAAGAATGCTCCATGACGTAAATTAAACATGGAGTTTGGACTTATACTGTATACTGAAATGTCTCAGTAATTGGTCAAATCCCACCTAAAGTGCACCTTGAATGATTGGTTTTGATGTCGTTTTCCGTCCTCGACAATAACATAGATGCAAGCTATTATGTATAATCAAAGTCCGTTCAAAAGTATCTGGTTCCGATTTAACGATTTTTCTTTTCATGGAAGATAGTAGTAAAACTGTTGCTGGCCAAGCTATGCTTTATGATGAGACAAGAACATGACGAACAACCAAGAGACAATTTTTACTTCCCAATTACTTCTCACGCAGCCGACTGGAAAAAGACGTTTCATTCGCAAGTTATCAGTTGGAAAAGCACAGAAATCAGAACTGGGCTGCAAAGCAACAACTATTGCCTATATGAGCGGTTTTAAGAATTTATAACAGCCAGAGATATGGAAGTGCCTGACTTTATAAAGCATGCGATGAGAGGCAGGCTTTGCGATGCAACTCGCGCACTAAGGTTCAATTTTTTCTTCTAGTTTTAATTCCTCTTTGTGATGCTACTCAAGCTACCAGCTTTGAATTTTTTCCGTGTTTAAAAATAGCGGCAACATACGGTCGAAATAATAAGTTTTGACATAATGGGCTCGAAGTTTCAATCGTTTTGCGGTTGATGAGAACAGCGCCCTATTGATACAAATCGCGGCAATTAATCTCATTGTTTTAGTTTTACTGAAAATATGCATATTTGAGAACATGTCAATTGATCCCAAATAGTACACAAAGTTGTATTACAATACAGAAGTTTAAACTAACTGCAAAAAGGGTTCTGTCCTGGTGTACCGGTTCACAAGGGAATTACCATTGTTCTTTCTTTGTTTAGGAGTTATCGGTTAGCTATTGTGTATTGTTTGGTCTTTTGTATTGGCTCTGGTGAACCGGTACACGAGGACAGAACCGCAAAAAGTTTAAGTTTGTAAAAAAGAAAGACACGAAAGCACAACAAAACAAAACGGCAAACAGGTTAGGTGAGAGTAAAAAAGCTCGATTATTCATGACAGAGAATTTAAAGGCTCCATGCGATTTCTTGGGGGAAAAGCTTGATTACTCTGACAACGAGGCAAATTCATGTGCATGGCCGAACCGATGAGCCATTACTCGAAATAAACACGACTTAGAAGGGAACAGAGTTAGATGTTGGCAAATATGCCAACATGAAGTAATTACCTGATTTTGTCACGCGCACTTTGTGATAATTGGCAATCGGGAATTTTTCAAAAATAGAGACATTTAGCACCGCGTTTACGTCAAACGGTAAACGTCAGCTTGCCCTTTTACGTTTCACGTAAAACAGCGTGAATCTTGCTGCTTTAGCTTCGCGTGAGCTCATGTTGTGGTGCAATTGAAGTCACCTTTGTATGACTTACAAGGAATAGTTTTGGTACCCTTTTTCCGGCAATTAACTTCTACCCTATTAGAGAAAAAGAGAAGAAAATCTTACGTACACTGCAAACGCGAAACAGTTTACTTTCACGTAAAAACGGCAAAGCGCAACCGGCAAACGCGAAAAAATGGCGGGAAAACAAGGTCAGGTGGTCGCTGTTGCCGTTCACGTTTCACGTAAACGGGGTGCTAAATCTCTCTAATGTTTCTCGATTTATGGACCCGTGCAATTTTTTTAGCCTTTGAGAAAATTTACTGATGGAGATTAATCCCAATATTAATTTACACTCGAAATCATATTGTCGCACCTTTAGTGCTATCATAGCGCGCATAGCTTTACTTTTGAAGGGCGCCACGTTGGTGCACGTGCTGTTGATAAATTAGGCTGAAATTCCGCGTTACTATCATAAATATCGTGTCTTCTAGAATATTTAAGTTTCCGGTCAATTCATGATCCTTTTTCGAAATAGGATAGTTTAGCTGCGTGCGAAGTTCGCGCAGAAGATTAGGCTCTTGGACAAAGTGTTTAGCGAAGTTTGTTGAAGCTTCTCAGAGAATTTAATTCTATGTTCTATGTTCAATTCGTGTTGCTGTATACTTGGAAGTCTGAGAATTAAAAGCTAAGGAAGTCTTAACACATGTGATTTCCTGGAAGAGAGTTCAACAGGAAAAAAAAAAACACCGGAAGAAAGGTTGCGAAATGAGAGCAGATTGAAAAGCTTACTCATGCTTAGAAGTGTAATTCAACTTTTTTATGGTAGCGAAGGAAATCTCTGTGGTGAATTAACTAGATTTCCTTTTGTAAATCGTGCTCTGAAAGGAGGCTTACTTGTAATGATTTCATGATTCACACCTTTTCTTTTGTTGTTCAACAACCTTTATTTTACTTACAACCCTGTTGAATATTAACAATTTGAAAGTCCAGGGAGGCCGGCTTGATAATCTAGCAGGGAAGAGCAAGGTTAATCAATTGAATTTGATTGTAAATGAGAGATTTAACCGCTGTATAAATCCCTCATTTCAGGGATTTGTACAAATAAATTCCACAGCAAAGTTGATGAAGAGTGTTTAACGGGTAAACACTACCTAGATCCTTTTCCTTACGAACTTCCACAACCAGTTTACTCAGCCATTAATTAAGTTCCTCGTTGTCAGTGATATTGAAAATGTCAGTATTGACTTTGGGAAGTGTAATTCCACTTTCACCTTTGAATGCAATCATTCCGTTTCGCTCCCCTGCCCATTCAGACCAAGTACGAACTGCCCACGATGTATTTATTTTTGTGTTTGGCGATATTCGAGATTCCTTCCCCTTTACAAGTTCTTCATCGTCAACGATCAAAACCTTCCTCACTGCTTCTAGACAATTCGAGGGGTCCGTCCGGGGCGTCCATCCTTGATGCTCGAGTACGGGCTGTTATCACTTCTTTTACAACTTAAATTGCTGCTTTTGATTTTTTTTCTCCATGTTCAGAGATAACACAGATAAATTTACTCATGTATCTGATTTCGATTTGTCGATTTTTCCTTTTACGGACAAGAGAGCAATAAAACACTTATCGACCAAAGTATGCCTTAAGAAACTAAAGGAAATGAGGAGACAGCGGCTTTTTGGGTCGGCTTAATGACGCAACTACGAAATAATTTCCAAATCATACGCAGGCGACTGGAAAAAGACAATTCATTCGCTATTTATTTGTCGAAAAAGCACAGGGATCAGAATCAGGCTACAAAGCAACAACTATATCCTGCATAAGCGGTTTTTAAACAGCTGGAGATACGCAAGTACCTGACTTTAGACTCTTTGTGAGTGGGGGAATTGGGGTCTATTAGATACAAAACCGTAGATAGTTATTCTTTTTGACGAAAATCCGCAAGCTGCAATGAACACCAAATCCGTGGAACCGTAGTTTTTTTGAAACAAAAGCCGAACAGCCGATCTAAAAATTAGCCAAAACTGAAAATCCCAATGACTCCCTCTTTTACACAAGATACGATCAAAGTCCTCTTCACACAACATTGGAAGCTAATCTAGTTTCAATGTCTCTATCAAGGAAAAACCTAACCAACAAATGATCTTGGTCCGCTTTACGGTGAAACACGAGTATCTAATTTTAGTCTCTCTTACGAGTGAGAAATAGATAAAATATGTAATGGGGGAGGGGGGGGGGAGCACATCCCATGATAGAAGCTACTGAAAACAGCCGAGCAACAATCTCTTCCCTACGCTCATCTAACCAACTGGAAAAATAACAGTTCTTTCTCGCTCATAGTCTAAAATGAATAAGGCCTATACATGAGCGACATAGTTTCGAAATTCCCCAATGAAAAGGAAGACTTTGTATACTGGATATTTTACTGACACTTTGTTACTATAGAAGCTACGTCAATTGCATCAAAAAAACAATTTTTTCCCCAAAGCTTACGCAGTCGACTGAGAAATGACATATCATTCGAAACCTAGCTAACAGTCTAAAAATCAGAGAGCTTAAAATGAGGCTACCAAGCGACGACAACTGATTTTCCCATAAAAACGATTAACAGAGAGCCTTAACAGCTCATTAGACTGAGATATTCAAATATTCAAGTTCAGATATTCTTATTTATGGCGTGTCTATTAGAAAGATTTGTTTTCTGCGTCAATATCAGCGTGGACGGTAAGTATCTAGGACAGCCTGAAAATTGTAGTACTGGTTAATTCATGGTCCTCTAACTGATCAATGAGTATTCTTGTTTGTAAAGGAAATGAAAAAAAGAAGTAACAACAGGTATTGCGATGTAACTTGCGCACCAAGATTTGATTATTTCCTCTAGTTTTAAGTATTCTCGAGCTTTGAATTTGTTTTCCGTGCTCGAAAGTAGGGGCAACATTCAGTCGAATTAAAAGGAGAATGCTGAACGAGAGCAAAAACACCCAAAAAAGTACAAACAAATGCTTAAAAGTCTGGAAGTCTTGGGCTTCCATAAACTGTTATGACAAAAGTATTGAAACACACGAACCGGAGTATCCTAGGTTCAAAGTTCTTGAGGGAAAAGCCTAATTATTCTGGCAACACGAGCAAAGTCATGCGGCCGAACCAATGAGCCATGACTCGAAATAAACACAACTTAAGAGGGAACAGGGTCATATTTTGGCAAATATGTTAATATGAAGTATTTATTTGATTTATCTCGTGCACTTTGGAACAGCAATCGGAAATTCTTTTAAATGAAACTCTTTCTCGCTTTACGGGCTCGTACGATTTGCTTAGCTTTTGAAAAAATTTACTAGTGGAGATCAATCCCAAATTTCATTCGAAATCATGTGATTACCTGTTCAAATCTACTTGTCGTTGAGAACTTAACAAGACGACTGGCTCCCTTGATATGATATATATTGTGTACACTCGCACACCTCTATAGTTCTCCTCCTATAATCTCTATCTATCATGAAATA